AGTGTTCATGGCACAGAACAGCTGTGCATGACTTCACAGAATATGCAGCAGGACAATGCTTCAAAGCAGTACTTCTATCTAAATGTATGTAAATTAGTCCGTAAGGCCCGTAGCACCACTTAAATGAACCTTTTCACCCAATACATGCAAAGAAAAAAACATGGTGGCGATGGCACTGGCCTAACAGCAGCTGTGTCCCCAAGAAAGACAGTGCACCCCACTACGCTGCAAACACTGCTCAGGAACAGCTTGAGGACACCACTCAGCCTCCAATTTCTGCATATACCAATCCAATAAACCATTTGCACTAGCACAAGTGGATTCATGAAGTCCCTACCCAGCAACAAACAGGACCCAAAAATCTGCTGTCCCTGGAGGACCTGTCTCTAAGCCCTGAAAATCAGAGATGTTCTGGGGACAAGAGGAGTACATAGACAAGATACTGCAGTTGGTTTTGATGTTTTGATAAGTGGAAGTAAAAAAAAGGGAAGTTTAAACGCAAGTTCAGACCCCAGTGCCTCCATCCATCTATCCGTTCATCTTCTGCCACTCCTATGAGTCCAGGTTGCAGGGGAAACATTTAAAGCAGACATGCCCGGACCTCCCTCTCCCCACCTACCTTCTCTAAGTCATCTGGGACACCCAGGCATTCCCATGCCAGACAAAAGATATAATCCCGAGCATGTCCTGAGTCTGCCTTGGGTTCTCCTTCCAGGCAGACATACCATCAGCACCTTAGCTAGTAGAAATCCAGAAGCCAAAACATCTCATCTCAGTCCCTACGAACGACTCTACTCTGTGTCTCTCCTGAATGGCCAACTTCGCCACCTTATAAGACAGTAGTCTCATATATATTGAAAAGTTAGAATGCCCCGATACCATCAGACAGTGAGAGAGACCATGATTTTAACAACCACTGAGACTCTTAAGAAAAAATAAATGGTGAATAATAAATGTTCAGGGTTTGAGGGGCTGCTAATCTCCTGAACATCCATAATGTAATGGTTTGTAAGTGTTACAGTAGTTAGGACGTCTACAGGTTTCAAGCCCCGCTACATATTTTCAACAAGGAGAGCAGTACTGTCTGTGGAGCTTTTGTTCCAGCCAGATGCCACCTGATTTCACTCATTATCCTGGCTCCTGAAATAGTCAGGCCTATTAAATGGCTCTTAATCAAGACCATGGTTCATTAAATCAAGGAGACTTTAAAATAGTGGAAAAAGCTTCCGGGAGTCCTCTGCTGTCCCTCAAGCTGACCGCCACAGCTGTGGGAGAGGCGCTGATAAAAACCTTACAACAACAACATTAAGAGTTTAACATACATGAAGTACAGCCTGATTGATTGCACAGCTCCGACCGATGAAAGGGTGTTTCAGGATGTTACATGCATGCTTGCATACGTTCTCTTGCTGGGTTGTGATACCCTGACGCTCTTGTATGCTCCCTTGTTTTTTCTGAATCTGTTGATTCATTAATATTTTTAAGTTCTCCAAAAGGTTTTATTCACTAAGCATTGTTTAAATTTTCAGAGTAGTTATATTTGAATATTCTAATATTTGTGTTTAATAGGATATACAGGTCATCCGATTACCACAATTTATTTTTACTCAATTCAATTTTATTTAAAAAGCGCCAAATCACAACAACAGTCGCCTCAAGGTGCTTTATATTGTAAGGTAGACCCTACAATAAACCCAACAATCATATGACCCCCTATGAGCAAGGACTTTGGCGACAGTGGGAAGGAAAAACTCCCTTTTAACAGGAAGAAAGTTAGGGATGGGGTGAGAGAAGGAAGACGGGATAAAGACATGCTGTGGAAGAGAGACAGAGCAATCTCTGTCTGAATCACACTTGTTATCAATATAACAAGTGTGATTCAGTGCAGAGAGGTCTGTGGTCTATGGTGACTGGAAAGGAAAAACTCAATGCATCATGGGAAACCCCAGCAGCTATTGCAGCATAACTAAGGGAAGATTCAGGGTCACCTGGTCCAGCCCTAACTATATGCTTTAGCAAAAAGGAAAGTTTGAAGCCTGATCTTGAAAGTAGAGATAGTGTCTGTCTCCTGAATCTAAACTGGAAGCTGGTTCCACAGAAGAGGGGCCTGAAAACTGAAGGCTCTGCCTCCCATTCTACTTTTAAATGCTCTAAATACTCTTTGCATTTGAATACATGAATATAGCTCTGAGAAAAGCTTTTGGCTGATTGCACTGAGAAGAACCCAAAAATACAAAGATATGCGCCATGCTGTGACAAATAAAAAACAAGGAAATGAAATGCAAACTAAGAAGCTTTCACCCAAGACAGCAAACTGTATGAGTAAATCTAGTACACGTCTAATACAATATTGATGTGAATGACTGTGATCTTAAGAGACTTGATCTACTTCTGATCAGCGAAAGCATCCATCTGAGATGCTCCCCGAGGGCCTTGAAAAATGGTAATCAAATTACGTAATCATGTTGCGCTTAACAGAGCAAACATCTAAAGGCCTTGGAGCGTCGCTTCCATTAAGCCAGTATGTTTTATACACACAGTACACGCACTAATTGGATATACTGTAAACACGAATACCAAAGCAGCTAAAGCCAATTCAGCGATTGCAGTGTATAAATTGAAATGTTCTCATGTAGTTTGATGAAGAATGGGTGTACTAAATCTTAAACTTTAATAAATGTACTACTGTATACAAGTGAAATATGCAGGGAAGTAACAGAAACAGTATGTTTTGTAGCTTTTTGATAAAGATGAGCAGCTGTTACACACCTTTGGTTTACCCTTCTCTTAAAGGTAAAACGTTTCTCGATGTCACGTTTTATACCATAACACGCAAAGACACATTTGTAACTGCCTGGATGCTGGGTGTTATCATTACCCATGTGTTTAGGGTTCATTTAGGGGAAAAAGAATAACTGGAAAAAAAATAGCAGACACAAGTCCAGCATTGTATTTCTGCTAGCAGCTCTCTGCAGACCACAATCCTCAACAGCCAACCAACACTTGGCATCAATCATGAGACCATGCACAGGCCAAAATATTTGATTCATCCAATAATGTTTCATTGTGTGAATATCCCCTGCACTTATGCAAAATGTGTTTATGGAAATACAGAAAGCCTTGGATTAAACTGCACACTGGCCCGCACATGCTCCGCTTATCCAGGTTGCAGGGAAAGGAGAAGGTTATCAAATAAGAAATGGTAAGATGAAAACTGGACATTCTTATCTCGCTCCCCAGCCAGCTGCCTCCTGAGCTGCAACATTCATAAGCTGACAAATCGTGCTGACTGACAATTGTGTAATAAAGGAGGACTTACAAGTGTAGCTACTTTGGGATAGGAAATCTGATAGCTCTGACTGACGGATGCTGCACCAGTAATGCATCACAAAGTGTGTGCAGTGTGAGCTTCACTTGAAATTCCGGCGACCCATTACGCCCAGTGATTTCCACCTCCAGCATCAATTTGGAGGTCACATTAGGCCTGTGAAATGCTTGATGCAAAAGTGAAAATGCAAACATAACGGACATGCATTTCATGTTTTACTGACTGTGTGTGATACAATTTAAACCGTTATGAAGAGCGAACAACTCTAAAAGTGTTCCACGTTGATTAATTTCTGCAAAAAAGCACTGACAAATGTGCATATTAGCCTCTTCTCTTCGAGGAAAAACAGTCCTCCTTTATGCCCAAAGAAGCCATGCTATCAGTTCCAGTGTCTCTCCGACAAGAGTCTGATAGTGTTACCGATTTAGATAGCTCAGATTTCATATGCTCTCTCAGAAGCAAACACTTTACTTCAAGGAGAAAGGGATGGAAAAAATAAATGTATCCCTTACACAAGCGGATGTCAAAGCAAAAATATTCCCATTACTCACTGCTGCTAAATAACTTCCGTATAATCTCTTAGAAAGCACAGTGTTTTGTTACAACTGTGATCTAAACATGGCACAGAGTGTAATGACTTGCGTGCATGTGATGAAAAACACAGAAAGTGTCTGACAACTGAAACATGAATGTAACAGAGAAAACTTTGATTCAAAACACGTGATTTTCTCCTTTTAAAAAAATCATCCAGTTTCTGAGGTTTTCCGCTGACCCTCCCATAACAAACACGTCCGTGGTCATCCAGGCAAGAACTGTTGGCATTTTCAATGAATACCGCTGCTTGAGTAATATATCATGAAATATTAAATGTTGGTCTTCAAAGCTCCCGAGTACTGACTCAGGACTGCTGGTCTTTTATTACATAATCAGCTGTCTGGAAACGGATGTATCTTTGTCAAGCAGCCGTGTAAATTTCACTCCATGTTTATAAAGCAAAGCAGAGGCTAACATTAACCGCAGAGGAGGGGGTTACTGTTTATGTGACAGCGTGTGATTGCACCGCACGCCACACATGCAGCTGTTGGAAGCTGCTCACTGTAACCCTCCGGTCTCTGCTGAAGTCAGAAAGCTGATCGTCGTCAGCTCGCCTCGTTTTAACGTCTCAGATGAGTTTCAGGCTCTTATTAAGAGCTGACTGAAAATTGACGTCAAATTGCGTGACGTCACGCGAGTGATTTGTTGCGATGTCACGGGCTGCCTGGTTAAACAGACGAGGTTTGCCTCCTGTTTACCTTTGGCACGCACCTGCACTTGCAGTTGGCGCGCCACAGTGCCCTTCACTCCCTCCGTCTCCCCGGTGATTACCGCAGCTAATGAAGGCTGTAGCAGACTCGAGTGCTGGACTAAATTCACGTATTAACAGTCTCTTTGAGCAAATTCCCCCCCAAAACTTGAAGGGCCCGCATCAGCAGACGTCTCTCAGGTAAATACGGCGTCAACATCGAAACAGCAGTACCTCGAGATTACTAAACCCACAAGGAATGAAAAAAAAAACCCAGAAAAGCTCTTAACTTGAACTACAAATGCATCCAAATCTTGTTCATTTGTTCCATCACAACTGCAACATTTCGTTTTCCATCTTAATTGAGACGTGCACATCCTGCCTCCTTACCTGTAAATGCCCCTGGTACATATTGAGCACACAGTCGGTCGCGGCTCTCTCCGTCACTGGATCTTCCTTTTACACTTCTTCCCGGCTTGTATGGGGCGCACAGTGTCAAACTCCAAGTGTGGACATCAGAAGCCGAAGGAGAGTTTTTGGACTGGAGGTCCAAAAAGGAGCAGACAGAGCGGAGCTGTCCTCTCCTCGGGTGCTGAAGCTGACACTTTGCGCTCATCCAGGATACCTCAACGCGCTGACACACACGGAGAGCGACGCCGGACGGCACTTTCTTTTCTTTCCTGGTTTTTTAATACTTGCAGATTCCTGAAATAGTCCTTACATGAAAAACACAAACAAACAAAAATAAAATTCTCTCGAGATTCAAGTCTTCATTCTGAGCGCGCTGGCGTTTTCCTTTCGGTCTTGCTTTAAATGTTTTGACGCTCCTGCTGGGCTCTCTCTTCTTATAGCGCGCTCCTCTCTCCTGTTTCCCGACTACTCCCTCTAACCCAGCCCTCTGGTGCCTCCCCCAGTGATGACGTGCTCGGTGAGGAGACTCGCGTGCACAGCTCTAGCTCGCTCGCTCTCAAGATTGTGTTCCGGAAATTTCAAAAGTTCACAGGCGTAGAAGAAGAATTTATAGCAGAAGGATTTTGTCATGAGCAAATTGATTTTAAAAACGGTTTATAAGCTTTTATAAGCCTCCCGCTGAGAAAGCAGCTGAATGACACGGTTAAAACACGCAGAGGAAACAGCGTCTTACAGAGCGTGACATCTGCGTGCGATGAACCAATTAGTTGCCGTTTTCAGTCGTTTTAATTAGTGGAAGCCACAATTCAGTGATCAAAAACAATGGAGACATGTGGTTTCTTAGCAACGTAGGAGATCTATATGTTTAAAGTATAGCCCACATTACTGTCAGTGCGCGTGTTTTAATCTCACACGTAAACACGCATGTATGCAGATGTTTTCAACTGAATAACAGAATATCAAATACACAGCAAGCTTTTATTTTATTCTAAAATAGCTCACTAGGAGCGGAACAGCTCCAGATTAGTGTATCAATGACAAACAAACAAACAAACAAACAAAAACACGGATTCAGATTAGATCTAACGGGGCAATGGCAACTTTGCCTGTTTTCATACCTACATGAAAACATATGTAGGTCTACAATGTCTTGGTGGGGGTGGGAGTTATGTATTATGAGAATTTCAACAACACTTCATCCAGAAGTTCAGCTTCTGGTGAAAATTTAGTTTATTTCTTTTTCAATTTCCTGATAGCATCTCGACACGAAGGATTGGAGCAGGGCCGCTTTGTGTTCTGCACCTAATAGCAAAACATTTTCCTCTATTCTTCCTTTCCTGCAAAGTAAACACACTTTGCCAGTGTCAGCTGGTACTGTGTCCCCCTCAGTGGAGTCACACAGCTTGTTGGGTGCAGACTGAGAGTGAAGGAGACTTCTTCGTATATCCAGTGAGCCACACATTTACACCGAAGCTATTGGGATGCATGAAAGGATTATTTTGGAAAACAATTCCTAACATTCAGTTTTGATACACAGAGATATATTTTTTTAGCAGTTTAATCAATACTTTACCTTACTTTGCAGACGTGTAGCAAAGGATTACTGATGTGGAGTGCACCACCATCTGGACATCTGGTGATATAAGCACTCACACTGAACATGTAGCTGAGCAGAGCCCTCAAAGACATGCTTTGCTTCAAGATGCAGCTTGAGAAACCTTAGCAAAGTAATCGAGTCACATATCAAAGCAGTAAAGCATGCCCATCTTTTTGTGTATCTGCCTGTCAAGAGATAATTTATGTAAAAGGCAGAGGGATTCTTAAATTATTCCTTCCACCCCCTGACTATATTCTCAGTTGAGATAAGCAGAACAATATCCCCACTGTACATCGTGTGGGCTGAAAGCTGCTTCCCCCTCCTGAGTTGTCTGACAGTCTGCTGGAATCTCTTCAAGGCTGACCCAAAGTGTAGCTCCACGACCTCGCTGAACTCCTCCTACGCCTGAGTTTTTGCTTTGACAACCATTGAAGCCACAGCCCGCTTGGCCTGCTGGTCAGCTGCCTGCAGAGTCCCACAAGCTGACCGAGTGAAAAAGACTCCTCTACAGCCTGATGGCTCTTTTTACCCCTGGTGTACACCATCTGGTTCAGGGGTTGCCGCTGCATGAGCACCAACAACCTGAAGGCCACAGCTCTAATGTGTCCTCACATTTGGAGGCAAAAAGTAAAGTACTGTTAATCTTACAATACCCAATGAATGAGAGCACGTACAGCATGGATGTCAAAATTATTTTATAGCACGGACCACGTACCACTTTGATCTTAAGTGGGATGGGCCAAAGAAATGGTCCTTTGCGTTAGTCTATGAATGTTTAAATAATTATTTCAGTGTAATATCAGAAGCCATGGGGGAGATCTTTATCAGTGGGAAATGTTATAAAACTTATGAACATAAAGTTTTCCAGTGCCATCCGGTTGGAGGGATTGGAGTCTTTGCCAGGCCAATTCTGGCCCCAGGGCCTTATGTTTGACACCCCTGATGTATAGGAACAGAGTAACAAGTTAGTGCATTTACTCACGTATTGAATGTAAAGTATTTCTATGTAATGCCACATTTCCACTATATTTTAGATGCAAATAGTGTACTTTGTAGTTTAATTTTAGTTCTGATTTTTGCCTCCCCTCCCACCTTTCTCCTCTCCCACCTTTCTCCTGATCCCCTTCATGTCAGCAAATTTTAAAAACCCTGGAAACTCCCGTGATTGGAGGCGCTGAGCACGGTCTAATCATTACATCCTGTTTCCCTGGAAATGTTGTTGAAGCTCTGCTGTATCTGAACATCACCCAAAAGAACTGGAATTAACTGTCTTTGTGAAACGGCCCAGGATCTTTTGAGGGCAGCAGAGGCTTGTGTGGACATCAAACCAAACACATCTGTAATTATTAACACACTGTCCTTTAATAAAGGTGTAAGTTGTTGCTGTTCAGAAGCTCTCGCTGTAATTTGCTGTGCAACAACACCAACACATTTATCTTATTGTTCATGCTTCACTACATTAAAAAAATCTAGTCTAAAGTCAAGAAAGCACGATTATTACATCCTGGGTCTTTATTGTTTACCAAACGTACACAGACCTATTTTTAAAAATCGATATATGATCACAGATTGTAGTGTTTTATCGAGGAGTCATATTGTTATATATTTCATAATGGCGCTCACATGTGCACGTGCTGGCCTTTAAATCTATGTTTAGATTAACAGAAACGGTGAAAATATTATTAACAAGAAGGGAATTACTGCTCTTTGGCTGGCCACTTATTTCAGTCAAATTGAAAATGAATTGTTTTATCTGCTTTGGATAATTACCAGCTACAAAACACAGCTAAAGAAGAATTATAATAAATACTGAGCAGTACTGCTGTGATTTTTTAATGAGACGTACGGACTGAGAATGTTGGAAAGTGGGAATAAAAGCGTAAACCAAGTTTCATGTCAGTGACACATATACATGCTTCAGTGTTCACACAGGTGAATTCGACCATGGTGCATCTCACCCCCCAAAAACAAACAAAGTCTTTTGAACACTGACTGATTTCTGGTATAATCATGACGTCACTGCTTTGCTTTTTGCCAACAGACATCTCGGCTCATTCTAAGCAGACCAACCGCTTTGGACCCTCTGACTAAATTTGAATCACCATGCAGATCCTCTAACTCATTGGGCGTCACCGGCGGGGCGGTTTTTGGTCACAGCTTTTTGGAATTATCCACTTAGTGTGGAGAATATAGCTTGATGATTCAGGTATTAATTAACACCATCATCAGGTAAAAACTCTTTTTTTTGTTCAGCTGTAACTTTAACGTATGGCCATAAGTACTCAATGATAATTATTTCTGATATTCTTTTGACGATCATTGCCCACAAAGCTATTAAAAGTATAAAAGGATATTGGAAGTGCGTCATTTGAATTCATGTATTCACCCCAAACCATAGTTAAGTCTTTACCTGGACCACAGATGGTGAGACAAATGACTTAAACAGATTCGGTTTGATAAGAATTTGACTGGGATTGAAACACAGTTTCAACACCGAGCATGAAATTCTGGGCAACATGAGAGCTTTTGGTAATTTGCAATTATACAAAAGTGTTATATAGATTTTATTCTCATAAAACCGCAGCCTGCTCCAATGCAGACTTTTAATAAAATAAACACCAAACTGAGTCTCAGAAATTCACGGAAATATGTCGGATTGGATTGATATCCAGAATCCCTGTAAATTAAGGAGTGACTGAAATAATGCGAATGGATGGCGAGATCAAATGCAGCTGGCACATTTGATGATCCCATTATTAGCAGGGCTCGACCTATTTTTCACCTGAGAAATGTGGTGATTAAAAATTAAAATGTCCATTATACTCCATATATCACTTGTTTGGTGACAGCTGTTTCGCTGACGTCACAGTTGGTGACACCGAAGCTGAGATAAGGCTCCTGGCAACTAGTGCAGCTGAACCTGTTGTGGACACACGGGCCTGACCAAGGTTTTATTTAACTGGTTCATTACCAGTACAGGAGGAACTTATCTCTCACGCTAGAGGAAACAGTGACACTCGCTGTCAGGCGTACCTGCAGTGTACCATCTCATTGCCTATAAATCCAATCACACATTTGGATCTCCACTGAAGTACTCGTCAGCCGGTAACTCATTACTCTAGAAATAATTTCCAGGCGACCAGTTGCTACATAGCAACAGGCCACAGATGCTATCAGTCAACACAGCTCTGCCCCTCCTGTCATGATCAAATAGCAATCGCAGCTCTTCCTTGACTATTTGTCAGTCTTTGTCATGCGTGTGTGTTTTTGCTGTGCAGCAGTGATGTCATCATCCAGCTTTGTTTGCTTCGGAGAGGCCCGACCTTCACACAGTGTCACCCTGCAATCGGAAAGTGTGGTTTTGCAAACAAGTCTATTAGAGGTGTTGATGGTTTGGCCTGAATGCAACCAGAAAAACGGCACTATTTCCTGGACGTGTTATTTTAGAAATTCAGAGAATCGTTTTTTCTGCTGCGTCACAAACCTAAATATTGGACTTCTTAATCCAACGGCTACAAACTACTTGCATCGTCCGGTCATCTCAGGCAAAAATGTGATTTCTTTTGATTTTACACATAATGTAACTAACACACTAACTCCTAATCTGCTTTTTGGAGGACAAATCATTAGCAGTGAGCCGCGGAGCTGCAGAGGAGAATGACACAAAGCTAATGGAGCAAACAAATGATGTCAAACGATGTAGAGCGGCAGACGCTTTGTACCAGTTTACACTCCAACAAGCATGTTTCCCTCTGAGGCGCCGCTGTTCCTAAGCAGACAGGAACACGCTGAGGTTTTGGTAAATGCACTGTTTAAAATATTATTAATGAGTTAGTTAAGGTAATCAAACAAGC